CCCCCCCCATATCGCCACAACCTAACCGCCATATTCTCACAACCCAAATAACCCTCCCTAACCCCAAATTACAATAAAACACCCTTCATAACAATTAACTACCCTTCCTCTCAGATCTCCGTATAAATAATATCCTGGCGAAAGAAAAATATTTGTATTATACATTCCGATGACACAGTTCGCAAAGCTGCTGCTTGCGATGCAGCACGAAGAAGATATTCCCGACGAATTGTCCTGCATACAAAGCACGAAAGAAGGATGCAACCGAAGACGATGATAAGCAAAGAATTCAAAAAGAGTGAAACTTACCTTCGAGCCGTGAGAACGTCCTCGGTTCACAGCTTCCGATTCGCCCAGATGATCGACTTCCGTTCGCTATTCATCAGCTCTCGTTTTCTACGGCAGAAGACAATCTCTCACGAAGTCGTCGGGTTCAAGCGAATAACCGTGAAAGTTTTGGGAATCGAGCCGGAAAACTGTTACTCGCGTAGACACTCACGCCTCGATGCCGCTGAAAGTAAAAGAACGATTCTTCGTGAGCGCTACCGCGATTATGCTCGCTATTCTTTCTAACGAGAGAAACTGTATTTGTTTATATCGTTAGAATAACGAGGGAAATTTTATTCGTTTTAATGATTTTAACGAGGGTTGTATTTGCTGGGATTTTGTTTAATGATTTTTTAACGAGGGTTGCATTTTTTTGGGATTTTGTTTAGATTTGTAACAATTTTTTTTTAGAAAAAATTGTTGGGTTGGTATTTTGTGTTTGCAAGTTTTATATAGCTTGATCTTGTTGAATTTTTAATTTTGATGTGATTTGAGACTGTTTTGACTTTACATTTTTAATACTGAAGTTTTGAGTATTCAAATTTATTGTAAACTTGAGGGTTTAAGATTTTAGTATATACATTTGGATATTTTATTTTTTTTTATTGCTACAATCTTAATGTTCAAGGTCTACATTTTCAATGCAAAGATTTTATTCGAACATGTTCAAATATTTTGTGAAATCTTAATTTCTAAATTGCATAAAAAAATTCTTAAAAAAAATGCTTAAAATTAAATTGAACGTTGTTTTACACAATCGAGTCGTATGAACATCCATGATCACAAAAATTCAAGTATTTCAATGTACACAAATTTAATATATTACAACCTTAATTAAAAGAAAAGCTAGAATGTCTGTCTTTGTACAAAGAAATCAATCTCTAAAAGATTCAACTCTGAATACAATTAACTCTGAATAAAACACAAGAGGAAGTAATTGAATAATTACAGGTAGCTGGTTAAATTGCATAAGAAGGAATTCGCAGTAATTTCAGCGCGTTACAAAGGCAAGATAAGGTGTCACAGTAATTACAGCAGTCGTAAGTCGTACGGAGCATAGAACATTTAACTCGAGCGATTCTTTTCATAAAGAAAACGTGACGCGAGATGCGGAGAGGAACGGGAGCAAAAGAAGCAACGTGGAAACACGAGAAGAAAGCAAAAGGGACTCGGTAATGAAGAAAAAGAGGAGAAATCAAATTCTTTTCATTGAGCTGTTAGTGATACCGGCTAGTAAAGGGGATAAAAGGAAAGAGATGAAAAAAGCTCTTGGTCGGAGGGGAGGAAAGAAGATAATAATTACGGTAGCGTTGGCCCGCGATTTGCGATAACAAGAACAAAAATGATGGGGTCACTGCTGACTGCAAAGATAAAGTAACAATTCTATTAGCGAAGGTTTAATAGTTCCGACGTCACTTCTCGCTTGAATTTTCATTTCAATTACACCGACACTTTTGGTACATCAATTTAAAGAACGAAGTTTGCAGAAAGAAACTGACTAAACATTTCATTATTGTTCTTCATACAACATGGCTGACGATCAATTTTTGTAAACAGCAGTTAATCATGAAGTCTGTAAGCATTGACATTATTTCATGACTTAAAAGTGAGACAAAATAATGATTTTGGTATATCAATTTACAACTTGAAGTTTACAGAAAATAACTAACTAAACATTTCATTATTGTTCTTCATACAACATGGCTGACGATCAATTTTTGTAAACTGCAGTTAATTATGAAGTCTGTAAGCATTGACATTATTTCATGACTTAAAAGTGAGACAAAATAATGATTTTGGTATATCAATTTACAACTTGAAGTTTATAGAAAATAACTAACTAAACATTTTATTATTGTTCTCCATACAACATGGCTGACGATCAGTTTATAGAAACAGTAATTAATTATGAAGTCTATAAGCATTCACATTATTTGATGACTTAAAAATGAGATAAAATAACACGTTTGATATATCAATTTAAAGCTTCAAGTCTGCAGAAAATAACTGACTAAACAATTCATTATTGTTTCCTGTACAACATGGCTGACGATCAATTTTTGAAAACAGCAATCAAATTTGAAGTCTACAAGTGTTGACATGATTTGATGATATAAAAACAGGACAAAATAACACTTTTGGTACATCAATTTAAAGCTTGAAGTCTGCAGGAAATAACTGACAAAACATTTTATTATTGTTCTCTGTACAACATGGCTGACAATCAAGTTTTGTAAACAGTGACCAATTATGAAGTCCATAAAGATTGACATGATTTCATTACATAAAAGTACGACAAAATACCGTTTTTCGTATATCAATTTAAAGCCTGAAGTGTGGAGAACTGTCTAAACGTCGTTGCCACTGTTCTCAATACAAAATGGCTGACTGTCAGGTATCACAAACACCACCCACTTTAATATTAAAATGATATTGCAAGAATAACACAGTGAATACAAATAAAAGAACATAATACACCTATCTTTTGCAACAAGTTTTCTAAAGACAAAAGCTTGTATCTTTAACTCCATACCTGCAAGAGTTAATTACGTGTCTGACAGTAAAATTTATTTGAAAGATAACCTAACACAAGAATCTATAGAAACACAATAATGGTCTAATTTTACGATGTGCAGAAGCCTTTGTTCGTCCACAGTCACAAAACATTGAAATTAGGCTGGAAAATTGTTTGACAATGTACACCATTTAACTTCTCCTTTCATACTTTCGTACATAGAAGAATGTATCCTCGCTTAATATTTACAGTTTACTTGAAAAGAAACGATAATGACTACAGTTTAATTAAACGAGCTTTTGCCGTGGTAAAAATGAGAATATTACTGTCGAAGAAGCATTCAAATGCTTTCTTGCAAATGAAACGAGTTCTTGGTACTGTTCTTTGAATAATACCGCTGAAAATGTATAGAAAACTTGGAAACGAGCACGATGCAATCACGTCGCTTACAAACCGTGGCTGTTGTTCGTGGAAACGTCAGTGGTTTACAGATCTTCAGAAAATGTGTTTCGGGGATCGTGAGACAACGAACGAACACCGGAATCAAAACGTTCATTGTAAAAAGATTCTTGTATCTACCGTTAAGGTTCAAACACGACAGCCATTTTTCGTGATAAATTCTTTTTATAGAAATTAAGAGACTAAATTAAAAATTTGTGAATACTTGATAAGAAAGGTATTTCCAATTTCCCCAATTTCCCATTTTTCCAATTTCCCATTTTTCCAATTTCCCATTTCCCCAATTTCCCATTTCCCTAATTTCCCATTTCTCCAATTTCCCATTTTTCCAATTTCCCATTTCTCCAATTTTCCATTTTCCCAATTTCCCATTTCCCAAATTTCTCATTTCCTCAATTTCCCTTTCCCCAATTTCTAATTTCCCAAATTTATAAGCGCTCCAATTTTCAATTTCCCCAATTTCCAAGCTCTCGAATTTCCAATTTCCCCAATTTCCTCAATTTCCAAAAACTCAAGTCCGCAAATTCCAAAATCCCCAAATTCCTAAATCCCCAAATCTCCAAATTTTTGAATTATCACCTCCCCAATTTATCAAATTCCCAACTTTCCACTTTTCCAAATTCCCAAATTCCCAAATCCCCAAGTCCCCATCCCCCAAACTCCCCAAATTAGCCCCTCATTCACTCTCACCCTCCTCCACACCTCATCTTCATATTTTATTAATAACATTGCAATCAGTAGATCTACGTATTCCGCATATAAATTACCTTCCGTGCCACAAAGTTGAAGCTGCGAATGGGTATAATAACCCGCAGAAAGGGATGGAACGGTGCGAATAATTTTTAGTAGCGCATATGAAGTTTTACTACGAGAAAACGTGTGACTTGAATATGTAATGCGAACGTGTATGCGTGTAATGAGATTCGGGAGGCACTTTACAATCTTGTAGTAGTTGTAAGCCGATGCAGGCTGATTTCAGCCGTGGAACGTCATCTTGCGCGTAAAATGGCGCAAGGGGTCAGCCATTTTATTCGATGTCTATCTCGAAGCTATTAATAATTACCTATCGTCCCGGACCTTCCATGGTTGTTATAATTTCATTAAGAGCAGAGAGTCAATGAACGTTCCGAGTCACTGCACCCTCTCACGATGATCATTATTGTAACAATCGCTATACGTCTTACGGAACGGAAAGAAATAACAAAAATTACATGTAATTTGTGGTAAATGAATTTAAGTTGATCGGGAAAATGAATTATGAGAAAATTCAGGGTATTACTTCCGAGATTATTGTTCGATTGTAATATCTGATTTTCGATACTTTTACTTTATGCGGATCGATGGCGTTCGGGAATTAATTGATAGTCCGTGAATACGAGATTTATTAACTTTACAGGCATTATAGGAAATGAAATTGTTCTGCTTGCTGACTTTGTTTGGACACGGATTAATCTGCAGATAATCTGGAACGACACTTGCTTTTGTATTTTCATTTGTTTCGTGTCGTTTTATCTCGGTGTATTATTTCCTTTATTTCGGAATTAAATTATTTTTGTTGTGAGTGATGGGTAAATACAATTTTGTTTGAGGGAGAAGTAATTTTTAATATAAATTTTATATTCATTTTTATTGACGTATAAAGGGATGAAAATATATCTAAAAGTGTATATTAGTGACTTCTGATGATGTACTATAGGCAGACCCCTCATGTTATCAAGGTTGCAGAAAATTCTTTAAATCGGCAATATAGTGAGAGTATCGCACATAGAGTACCTCTTAAAAATTTTCAAACTTGCACAAATTTTTATTGAACGAACTTATAAATTTCTTAATATTTAACCTTGAAAATATCTTACTCTGAAAATTATTCACTGAATCCTCAAATTTGAAGTTTAAAAATTTCTAAATACCTAAATTAATTATTTTACAAATTTGAAAATTAGAAACCCTAAAATTGAATCTGACGACATAACATCATTATATCATACCTTTTACAACAACCCTTATTTTCCTCAAAAAACTAAAATACCTCAAACACAAATTTTCACGAATTTTCTTTATAATAAAAACGTTCCTCTATGGATTTTAATCTGCGAATCAAAAGAGTGGAAATATTGAGCGAGGAATCTGACACCTCGACAAACTTGCAATTCGTCTTCAACATGATTAATTTTGTTTGTGAATGGCGAATGGAAATAGTGATCGAACGTA